TAGTGTACAATCAATCTTGTTAATTTATGTATAATAAAAAAGTGGGAATGAGACAGAGAGATTTGCCAAATCATGCTTGTTTCAAGGCTGATTGATCCCATTACCAGCCAGAGTGTATTTGTTTGTTTTGGTAATGATGGTTCAGGCTTGTACTAGGAAGAAAAATAATTACTTCTGATGGAGCAAGCAAGAGGTATATCAGTTCAGTCATCATCAATTTTAACTTTGTTGGAAATATCTTACATGTTAAAATTGGATGTCCATAATGCTTCTGGAGTAGTTTGTTAAAGTGCACAAATAATGGCAAAGGATACAAGCTTTTATTGCATTATATTTCACTAATCCATATTTAATTTACTTCTTTGAAAGTTGAGCAGAGTCTTTGGAAATTAATGACCTCGTTGTACAGATGAGATCAACTTCACTTGCAAGATATCATCAGCAGTAATGATGACTGAAGAGCTGTACCGAGGGTATTATTTCAATCATGAGGACTCCAGGAAAACTTTGGAGATGTGCCCATGCCAAATTCCACAGATGGTGCTGTATATGTTAGTAACTTAGAGGACCTTATACCATTGATATAAATTGTCTCATGCAGTAAGCAATGAACTTTGTTTGTCAGTATCTTTTAGCAATCTAGGCAACAAACTTAATCCACAAGTGAATTCAGGTATCCAAAGTAAGCAGGACTTTCTAGCTTCTTATTCCTGAGAATGTTTGACATGTAAATGAGGCAGAAAATTGGTAGCTAAAGTGATGCTTCGAATAAACATAGTATTATTATTTTTATATATTAATGTGGATAAATATACCAACTTGGATCCGTGGCGCAATGGTAGCGCGTCTGACTCCAGATCAGAAGGTTGCGTGTTCGATTCACGTCGGGTTCAATTACCGGGCAATGTTTTCTTGACCCTTACTTTTTGTTTGACACGCTCCCTAGCCGTCCGATGCCAATCAAACGACCGCATTCGGCGGAATTCACCACCTTATATATGCATGTGGACAGCTATGCCATATCGGATCCGTGGCGCAATGGTAGCGCGTCTGACTCCAGATCAGAAGGTTGCGTGTTCGATTCACGTCGGGTTCAAATCCCAGGTAATGTTTTTTTGACGCTTACTTTTTTGTTTGACACGCTCCCTAGCCGTCCGATGCCAATCAAACGATCGCAGCATCCCCCGTTGTGGGGCCCACAATGGTGGCCCATCTCCCACTCCAATAGCAAAGACAGGTAGACGAGGACCGACGCAAGCCTCATTTGGCTGAATTCACCACCTTATATATTGATGTGGATACCAATATCATCTCGGATCCGTGGCGCAATGGTAGCGCGTCTGACTCCAGATCAGAAGGTTGCGTGTTCGATTCACGTCGGGTTCAATTCCCGTGCAATGTTTTCTTGACGCTTGCTTTTTTGTTTGACACTCTCCATAGCCATCCGATGCCAATCAAACGATCCCAGCATCCCCCGTTGTGGGGCCCACAATGGTGGTCCATCTCACCCTCCAATAGCAAAGACAGGTACACGAAGACCGACGCACGCAACCCGCTTCGCCTCTCTCTCTCTCTCGACTCCACCGTTGTGGGCCCCACGGTGGCGCATCTCACCCTCCAATCGCAAAGCAGGTAGGCGTCGACGACCCACGCGTCGTTTGCCTGGAGTTCCTACGTGACCACGAGCATCGAGACGAATCAACAGAAGTCTCGACTTAGGTAATGTCATTCCTCATAATAGTTCAGAGGTCAACATATCATCATCATCATATTCCATCCATACAAGCTTTGTCACACTGAATAGGACAGCAAGCTGAAACCACATCATGTTTGCAGTCTATCACCTATCACTCACCCACCACAGGTGCATTGCCTTTTTCATGATGGTGGTGGAGAAATAATTGCAGAGATCACATATGATGGTGGTGTTCTCTTTTCTCAAGTCAGCCTATTCCATGGAGGAATCAGCCTACCCTGATTATTACAGGTTCCCACTCTAAACTCTAACTCTGGTGTTACTCCTTCTGTTGATGCTTTTGTACTGCAACATGGGCCAGCCAGTAGAGTATGACTGTGAACACAGCATCTCTCTCTCTCTCTCTCTCTCACAGGAACCCTAACTGGAAACACAACTTGTTTTACCTGAGGCATGTTGCCTAGCTGATGGACCACATCACACTTCATTGTGCTATAAATGAGAGTTACTCAAACATTCTTGGGGTAGAAGATTTGAATAGCAAGTACTTTTGAAGTCAATAGGGGAAGGAGTCTGCAAACCTACTTGCTACCAACAGTACAAACTAATCCCGTTTGAATTGGAGTCGAACTAAATATCAAATTGATCAAGAATTGAAATCGAATCAAATCAGAATATGATTTCTAGAATTTTAAACCATAACTCAAATGCCCCTCTAAAGAATGGATCTGACTCTTTCAACAGTTTAACAAATGGCTAATTCGAGAGATATTTTAAAAAAAAATTATTTTAGTTCGAAATCGAAGCAATTCATTAACTTGAAGGTAGCGAAGGTTGGCCGTTGGCCGTGGAGCCAATACATTAACATGTTTTCTTTCCTATTTATATAAATTAGGAGAAAAGATTTCCTCAATAGAATAGAGAGATTTCCTCGTATAGTTGAAGAAATCTTATCTTTTATCACTTATAAGTCAATCTTAATCTTATTCACTTTCGATTTGATCTTTAATAGCTTTGGAGAGGTTATGATACACCTGTTGTGCATAGATGTGAAATGAAACAGGAAGAAACAGGCTCATCCCCCTTGCCACTGTTAGGTCAAACATCCCTGCATTAGTTTCCATACTGATGCAGTCGTAAAGGTAGCAAAGCTTTTGTTTTGGCTTAAACCATGCTGAATTCAGCTCCATCTGAATGCAAACTTTGGTCTCCAAAAATCTCCTTTATTACAGTACTTTATGCGGCTATCGACAATTCATCAAACTCTTAACATGCAGCTCAATACCACATTTTTTCCTCATCATTGTGAGAGAGATCACACCAAACAAAAAAAGAAGAAAAAATTTGAGTTAGTGAAAGTAAATTTCTCAATGAAACAAAAAACATAGAGAAAAAGAAAAATTGATCACCTAAACCACAAACATAAGCAATGCAATTTGATGAATGCCATGGTTGTTGGTACAATTAAGAAGCCTACCTACAGTAGTATTGTTTAATGAGCCAACAACAATGGCATGGCCTCCTCAGCTAAGACAAGCTATGATGCACAAGAGGAGACAGCTTTCCCTGTGGCAGGCCATTGGATTCCAAACCCTGCAACCTTTTCTAGCTTAAAGCCTTAAACTATTCAACTCGGATGCACATCACAGATTCCTGCAGCGTCTCCAGCAACATGATACAAACACACACACACACACACAATAAATGCATAGCATATATTTTGCAGGTCTACTGCCACCTCTATATATGTTCTTTGGAAGAAGCACCCTATCATAAATCTTATAGTATGCTTATCTGAAATCTGCATCATTTGCATAGCTAAGAAAGCTCTCATGAAATATGAGTCAATTCAGATGCAATGCTATTATTAACCAAAAGAATAGCATACTTACCCTTTACAATGAAAAATATGACTCTCCATGTTTAGACATCTGCAGAGATTGTTGAGCAGATTTAGATCGGAAGGCATCTGCAATGGAAACTCAAATATATTATTAGATCGCATTGCATCAGTATGTATCAAACTCGATACACTTAGAAAAAGTGGTGAGGAAAAAAGAAATATTAGGTGTAGTGAAAGCTTTTGGAGGCTTGTCATGCTATCCAATAAAATGGGAACTAAGCAAAAGCGTTTACAGTGACAGGCATGCCAAAACAATATGCATTTCTGCAAGAAAACAGTGAGTTCTCTGTTGAGGTAGCACAGCAGCTTTTCAGCACCATTCCATTCAATGAATGAATGGAAGGGTAGTGTGTGATCAAAGTCACACAGCAAAATGTGAGACTGAGAGTGGAGGACATGTGAAGGATGCTCAACTGGTGGTGATAAAGTTGTGTTGTGTGGGTGGCTCCAATTGCATGTTCTCAAACAACTAAAACCTCCATAGGAGTCTCTATTATTTCCCCCTCCCTCTTCTTTAAGACTTGAAGAGGACCCCACACCATGCAAGCTGACACCAACCTAACACTCAGATTCCTACTGTCCACCATTCAACTGAGGGTTCTGTGGAGGTGACAAGTGCTTTGATTTGTCTCCACTGATGTGAGGAGCTAAGCATCATTAGGTGAAGGGCTGGAGGAGCTCCAAATCTGTGCTGAAACACCAACCACAGACTTCCTTCCTTCTCTAGCTTTCTCTACCTGCAGAAAGGAAAATTGTGTAAGTTTATGCAACTCATCTTCAACTTTCTTTTCCTATTTCTCAAGAAAAAAACTTGTTTTTATCTCATTTTTGTCCTCCTGAAAATGAATACAAGTCTGATCTGAAAGAGGGAGGTGTTTGGTTCTTCCCAGGGTGGACTCATTCTTTCATTCTGAAATATTTTGGAAGAAGTAGCTCAAAATACATTTTTCTACATCATAAAACAAACAAAAACCTTGCTTTCAAATCTTCTTTTCTCATAAACAATATCCAACAAAAGGGGAAAGTCATCGAACATCAGTATGATAGCATTAAGCAAGAATCACAAGTGTAATTTTGATTCAAATTCTAGTAGTTTCTTGAACTACAAACTGTATTATCAACTGTCATGTTGTCAGACAAAATCCAACCTTTATAAAAGGATTGGAATTGAGATGAAATCTCAAACAAAGCTTGTCGCAGTCCCAGTTTTATGGGTCCAAAGTGCTTGCAAGAATCACAAGAAAAGGATGGGAATCACCTGACACATATGATTCCCATTTTATACCACCACCATCCATTTTGATTCAGAAGTTGTAGGCAATCAGAACCACCTAAAGAAGGAGCACACAGTTCCAGTAGAGGATAAGCCAGCAAGATGGTATAGAGACTTCTTCATCCAAAGATCACAAAAAGATAAAGTTTGGCATTGCTTTAGCATCATGTTTACAGAACATGTTCTTCCAATATCTCAAAACGATGCTACAGTCCCTTTTCACTCTCCCACAACAACAAAAGAAAAAGGTTGCCAAGCACATCAGCACCTGAAATGATGCTGGAAAACCATGGAAACACTCAGCTACGTCTATTTACTTTTGTCTTATGGCATTCACAATATGCAACTACGATAGGATACGATACGCCGGTCGAAAACTAAGCGGCAGCAACAGTTTCACCACCGTCGGAACTCTCAGAGCCATTGGTCGCCGGGGGAGTATCCTTCAAGGAAGTTAGGGAGCACTTCTCCTTCGGCTCGTCCTGGTTCATGTGCTGCTGCCGGCACTCGAGGCTACAGAATGCGATGTCACCCCTGTGGAAGAAAGATGCAATAGATATACAGCAAAACAGCAATGGTGTAATTAGGATTCTTCGAAACATGATGCCAAAACAAGTACTAAAAAGAATTATGGAAGTACAACTCATGCAAAGCAAGAATAATAGCAGCAAAGATCATTGATCTTTGGTATCCAGCCATTAAGAAATTATCATTGCCATGAAACAAAGTCCCATAGGAGGATCCAAGAGAATTTTAGTCAAGGCTTCCTGTGTACTGTGACCAGAAACTATGAAGATATACAGCGTTTTGTCCTCTAAAGCAACAGTTTGATGAATGAACGCTGGATAGAAGATGTGGATCAGCCTGAAGTTTAAGCATGGAATGACATCAGAAAGAGATCACACAAATCCTAAATCCTACAAAGACATTGGTAATGATTAATAAGGCAAATGGAAAGAACTGCAATCATCCCCTTGCCAAAATCTGCATAAGTAGCACTTGATCGGCCGGTGTTTGCAAGAGGTGGAAGAGCAAAAGACATTGATGAGTGAGGAGCTACTGTTTGAGACAACCTCGAAAGGCAGTAGTACACGCGAAACATTCCTGAGCTGACCGCAGCAGATCCATCATCTTCGAGCAGGAAGAATCAAGATTAAAGCATCAAAAGAAGAATCTATCAACCCTGCACTTCATCGTCTCCATAAACTTCGCCTCAGAATCACCAACAGAATAGGAAAAAAAATTGAACCTTTAAGGAGACAAGCAAGATAAAGAGCACTAAAATGGACAGATGCACATGCACTCGAGCATCTCCATGATTTCACAGCAAAATCTCATCAAGATATGCAGACAAAAACTAAAAAGTTGGAATTTTTACAAAGATTCGAGGCGAAAACTCACGAATCGAAGCGATAAATGAACGTGCATGAAGAGATCTCAATGTTTCCTCGTCGAGACAGCGAGAAAACCCCCCAAAAAGATAGATCTTTTGAGGCAGAGAGCCACGGATGGAGCGGAGAAAATACCTATACATGAACGTGTCGCGGCCGGGGCCCAGGCGGCGCTTGCAGAGGCCGCAGGCCATCAAAAAGGAAGCGGTCTCCACCACCGCGAAGTTCCCGGAGTTCCTCCTCCGACCCCCGGCCCCGCCGCTCCTCCACAGCGCGGCCTCCGCCGCCCGCCGCTGGTTCCGCTGCTTCTGGAGGATGTGGGGGCGGCGGCTCTGGTTCTCGGCCCCTACCTGATCGGCCGTCACCGGGCCCTCCACCTCGGCCGCGAACTCCGTCATGCTCGTCGTCCGCCGCATGGGCGGCCGCTGCCGCTTCCTCAGCAGCATCTCTATCCGTCTCCTCGCTGAGAAAGCGCGTAGCGGTACGTCCAGAGAGGTGAACGGGCGGTGAGCGGAAGCGAGAAGAGGAGGCAGTGAGAAGACCGCAGAGAGCGAAAGGGAAGGGAGGGGTTTGGTGAAGGCAGAAGTGGCGTATTAAAAGAGGCGAACTACGAATCTGGACCGTCCGTTGAGATCTGATCATCATTGTTATTGCGTTTGAGAAGCGATCACTCAGTGAGATTATATTAGCGAGTGAGCCCATAAAAAGGGAATTTAATTGGTAGGATGGGATTAAGATTGAGGGGATGACAACGAGACATGCAATGATGGCATCTACAGCTTTGATTAGCTCAAAATTATGCTATTATTTTGCCTATCTACCTTAGTGGTAATTATTCCACCCAAAAATTAAGGGCACAAAGCCATAATTAGACATTAATAGTGAGATTAATTTCTTGGGATAAGGAGCCATGTACTATCGTGGATGGTGACATGCTATCCATCCATGTGTCGTGTTCGTAAAGGAGCACATCATGGTACGGGTCCCACGTGGATTGAAGTCACATGAGCCTCATGGTCCAATTATTAGTCAAAATTTAAGATTGGACATATTATTTTATTTTACAATTATTAGTCAATTTTTTATTATTTTGATTTTTTAATATGATAGTCCTTCGAATTTTCTAATTTCAGATATACCAAGGAAACCCAATAATAAATTTATTGATGTTGGTGAATTCTAAGAGGTATATCAACTAATCACATCATCCATGCAAACCTGTCAATGAATATTAAGGATAATTTATAATATCTAAGACTTACACACATTAAATTATAATTAGTATATGATTATATATATATATATATATTATCCTCACTTATTGATATGATTTCGTAAATATAAATATGATAAATGGCAGTTTCATGTTTTCAACTTTAAGATTGAACTATATTATTTTCAGTATTCTATGAAATATTAGTTAAGTATACATAAGTATTAATGTCTACTTCAAATATAACGCAATAAGCCAAAATATATTAACTGACTTGAATATGAGGTTAAGTTATGGTAATAAGAATATACATATATGCTATGATATGCGATAAGAAAGTGCATGTATATGTTATAAAATATAGTGTGGAAGTGTACGTATATATTACGATGATGTGTAAGGAGTACATATATTTGTTACGATGAGAGAAGTAAAAGATCATTAATATATATAGTTTCTTACAAGTACATATAAGTATTTTAAATTATTTTAATATAAAATTTTACTTCTTTATTTTACATATGTTATGTTGTAGGGTTATACTTGATAAAAAAAGTCAGAAGTCAATCATTAAATATCTTATGCCAATGATTTTTAAATATTATATACATGACATAATACATGTTGGCATAAATAAAACTATAAAGGCTTTATAGATAAAAATATAAATCATATTTTATAGGTAATAATGTTAGTATCTCAGTTAAGTGATTGGGTAAGGAAATGAGTATGAGTACATGATGACATATGGGTATATGTACGTGTATTATTTTTGGACGTATTATGTTTATATATATTTTTGATTAAATATTATAATTATATACAGATGTTAAAAATGCTATGTACATGGAAACCCTATAATTTTATTTAATAACTTAACATGTGTTAATTTTAATATTATTTATTTTCTACTAAACTTCTATCGATAACAGTAATGAAAATTGAAAAGTGTCATTTTGCTCATGTAGGGTGTGGATGAAAGTAAGAGTAGGGTGTTACATAATTATTATTAGTTTTTAGAATTATATTTTTAATAAAAAAAATTTCTAATTATATATCACTATTGGTGAATTTTATTTTATTTTTCATATAACACATATATCTTGTACATAGGGACACTAACTCGACATGACATGATGCTTGCTCAATCATACCGACGATAAATCTGACGACTCAAGTGGCTGACGAAACGTGAGGGAACTGAGCGTACGACACGTCTTCCAATCGCGACTTAAGTTTTAGCTTGATTCGGAAACGTGCGCACTCGCGGTTTCCTCGTCAATGAATCGGTTGCATCTTTGTCTCGACCAAATGCATCCATGTCTCGACCTAATCGAAGTCTCAATCCGAGTGATGTCGACTTCGTGTCTTTGCGACACGTCCCGTCCGTCGTCCGTAATAGTAATAACAAAAACCACACCCTTACGCCCTAAGCAAACTCACCACCCCACCCACACTTTTTCTTGGACGCGTTGCAACAATGATGGGATGGGAGGCAAAACGATCGTTTGCTCTCACCGAGAGGTGATGGTAGCACGACTGCACCACTCGGTTGATTCCATGCAACGAGGGAAGAGAGACTTCGACTTTGCGAAATGTGTCGATGACGATTGTGCACTTTGGCGCTCAATTATTGGTGTTTATTTATTCATTTATTTAAATAAAAAATCTTAATTTATTTGCTATTTATTTATATATTAATCGGAGTAGGGTTACTTTGGACCCTCTCAACAACAATTATAGGCAACATACATACGTCAAATATTGTATAATATGTATATATAGGCATTTGGATCTGTGATCATCCTGCAGCATGAACATAAACAATCATTTACTTATACCGGTCCAAACACAGACTCGTATATAGCACAACCTCAACATGATTTAAAGGTCCCATACCAACAACAGCACAGAAGACTTCACCCGACAGATTTATTTAGTAAAATATCAGATCATACTACGAAATGGATTCGTGCATATACCTGACGGGACACATCGCAACTCGCTGCAGATCACAGTTCAGAACATAGACATTCTCAAACTATCATGAGAAATGCAAACAACACACCAGTACAACAGGGAGACCTTATGTCTGCCACCGCCTGTCGAGCACCCAGTTCTGCACCCAGACACCAGATACAGTGCCTATGGACTGACAAAGACGACCAGGACACATACTAAGACAGCAAATCACTCCAAATAATATTAACGCAGAATTCTCCTCCCTTCATTTTTTCTTTTGGGCTGCTTTGGTAACCTTGGCTCCGGTGGGATCCTTCTTCTCCACGCTTTTGATAACACCCACGGCAACCGTCTGTCTCATGTCTCTAACAGCAAACCTACCCAGCGGCGAGTACTCGGCGAAAGTCTCGACCACCATCGGCTTTGTCGGAATCATCTTCACCAAACCTGCATCTCCATTCTTGAGGAACTTGGGTTCCTTCTCCAGCTCCTTGCCGGATCGCCTGTCGATCTTGGTCAGAAGCTCCGCAAACTTGACAGCTATGTGAGAGGTGTGACAATCAAGAACAGGAGCATAGCCATTCCCAATTTGACCGGGATGATTCATAATGATGACTTGCGAGGTGAAGTTGGCAGCCTCCTTTGCTGGGTCATCCTTGGAATTCGAGGCAACGAAACCACGCTTCAGGTCCTTTACAGCAACATTCTTGACATTGAAACCAACATTGTCACCGGGAAAGGCCTCCTGAAGGGCCTCATGGTGCATCTCCACAGACTTAACTTCAGTTGTGAGACCTGTAGGACCAAAGGTAACAACCATACCAGGCTTCAGGATTCCAGTCTCAACACGGCCTACAGGCACAGTTCCAATTCCTCCAATCTTGTACACGTCCTGCAGGGGGAGACGAAGGGGCTTGTCCAAGGGTCGCTTGGGCTCTTGGATCAAGTCAAGGGCTTCCAGTAGAGTTGGGCCTTTGTACCAGTCAAGGTTGGTGGATCTCTCAATCATGTTATCGCCTTCAAAACCAGAGATTGGCACGAAAGGAATCTTCTCCGGATTGTAACCAACCTTCTTAAGATAGGACGAAACCTCCTTGATGATTTCATCATACCTTGCCTTGGAATATTTGGGGGTTGTCGCATCCATCTGTCATGAATAGAACAAATGTTAAATAAGCTATCCGGTAAAAGAGATCATCATTCATCCAAAGATGCAATCAAACACTAAATTCCTACCTTGTTACAGCAGCAAATCATTTGTCTGACACCAAGAGTGAAAGCGAGAAGTGCATGCTCTCGAGTCTGCCCATCCTTAGAAATTCCAGCTTCAAAACCACCAGTTGTCGAATCAATAATGAGGACAGCACAATCGGCCTGAGAGGTTCCAGTAATCATGTTCTTGATGAAATCACGATGTCCAGGAGCATCAATGACAGTGCAATAGTACTTTGTGGTCTCAAACTTCCACAGAGCGATATCGATAGTGATACCACGTTCACGTTCAGCCTTCAGCTTGTCAAGCACCCACGCATACTTGAATGACCTCTTGTTCATCTCAGCAGCTTCCTTCTCAAACCTCTCAATAACACGCTTGTCAATCCCCCCGAGTTTGTAAATCAGATGTCCAGTTGTTGTCGATTTACCAGAATCGACATGGCCAATAACCACAATGTTGATGTGAACCTTCTCCTTTCCCATTGCAAGTTTCTTAACTGCAAATAGCATGCACATATATCAGTCACGTTTGTGTCGTTAACAAATCCAAAAATATCCTACACATTTTTTATAGCATTATAGATTAAGCAAATCACTGAAAAAGAATAATTATATAGCAAAAAGGGCTCCATTGCTGGCAGAAGAGGAATAAAAAATAATATTAAAACTATAGAGGTTAAAATAGAAAACTCAAATGTCTGATGCTACAATTCATGTCACAATCTTGACTTAAACTAATCAACGTCCCCCAGATATTGTCACAATGAACCTAATTTTTCCAGTTAAATAAGTAATTCCACAACATAGACCATCATCACCAAGTTCAGAATTGTTAATTCATTACCTCCTTTAGTTTACTAGGAATAAAAAATATAGAAAAAAAAACTTGCCTTTAATCTACGAAGTCCAATGACATCAACAAAATAGTAAAAATTCAAGCACAAACCCTTCTAAAAAGAGCCTCTAAAATGATCTGTAAACGAAAACTGCAACGCGTGAGCATCGTTCTCCCATTATAGATATTATATTCATATGTTCACACTAAGCAATTAAATCATGGATCGCTAAAGTGAATCACTAAGATCAGTCAAAACCAACAGCGTTTCTCATCCAAAAGAAAGCGTTTCAAATCCCTCCTTTAACATGAGGTTCCCCCGGAACGTCTCGGATCTAGGACAGAAACAGGATCACAAATCACTAAAGATGAGAGAATTACCACAGGGTCAATCAGAAAATTCGAGGCGTCCAAATCGACCAAAGAAAACTCTTAATAATAATAATAATAATAATAAAGGCCTCACCACAAAGACCGAGAGACAGTAGGAGGAGAAGAGGAGAGATCGGCGGCGGCTTCCTCGACCACGGATGTCGCGATGAGAGTGGTGTCCGAACCCTAGCGGCTGGATACTTATAAGCTACTCGATTACCAAAACGCCCTTATGCTTCTATGGGAAACGTACGAGCAGAAACGTCATTCCACTGACACAATGGGATACTTGATCCGGATCCGGGTTGCTTTGGCTCCGAATGATGTAGATATCGGCAGGATCTGCGCCGTTGGATCATAATCGGAAGGTTATCGATGGCTTGGGTGTATGTTATGGATATTGGACCAGCACGAAATTATCGGATCACTGTTAACACCATGTCATGTCGAAGTCAATCTTTCTTAATTGCAGTCAAACATCATGAATTCCATCAAAACGAAAAATACACAAAATCTAGCAAACATGATGTCCAATGGTGGCCACCACCACCTAACCGCTACATAAAGATCACATGGAGGCACCATTGTTTGCATGCCAAAGATTTCAAGTTGTAGTCATCATGATGACATCTTTAGACTCGTGCATACATAAGATACCTTCTTTACGGCCATATCTACACTTTGGGTATTCGTTTTAGTAAACATGCCACCACAACATGAAATTTCTGGCACATTATTAGAGCCTAACTTGAGCTACACATTGCATCCAACTCACCTATTCCTACTGTTTGTGTCTTCTATCTATCACCATTTTTGTATCTTCTCCATTCTCCACAAACTCTTTTGATGAAAAGCCAATTTTGGCTAGCTACTCGTATTCAAGATCTCACCTTTGGTTGCTGCCCTTGTCAAGATCCAACTTTGGATGCCTGCTCCAAGGTGAGTTGATCTCTGGTGTTATGTATATGATAGAATCACTAGTATCAAAGAACAAAGTGAGAATATTCTCAGCAAAAGATAAGAGGGGATATAAGTTGTCACTCTTCTATCACCCTTTGTATTTGGTATTGCTGACTCCAATATTTCCATCTCTGCATCAAGCAATGAGATTGCTAGATTAAATATCACCATACTAGTATACATCCGCAAAATAACTGCATGTGAAGCATGAAATCCATTATGTGAAGAATCAGCTTCAGCACATTTAGTCCCTAATTATATTGAACTCAAGCTGGGAACCACGAATTCTGGAATTGTTCACTCCTAATGTTGCAATGTGAAGAGCAATCAATGTTTACTAGAGCATGGAGAAAAAGAAAGCATGTAAGCCATCAGCATGGATGTAACTTGAGAAAGGCAGTTGCTTCTGCCAACTATGTAATACCACAACCACACAAGGTCAGAAGCTGCTTCAACTCGGTTTCAATGCATAACTTGGAATCTTGGATCATCCTTTCCGAAACAACTGAAACAATGCACCAAGTGATCCACATTAATGAGATAAAGGAAAAAAAAAACTAAAACTACCAAGAAAGCATTGCATACTTGCAACAAGTTCAGTGTTGCCGACAAAGAAATGGCACTTAAGAACACTTACAATAGTAGCTATTTGGTCATCTTGATGCCTTGTTCACCTCCATCATTATGGCATCAGCCAATTGTCGTGCATCATACTCCACCCCGAAAAACCTGACAACCTCCATGTTGGGATCTAACAGGTACCTGTCATTACAAGATGTAGTATCATCATGTCCATGTTTAGCAGTCAATGATACTCAGCATGACTCCTACCTAAAACTTCAGATTTAGGAGCATTACATGTTGTTTGAAGATTCAACAAGATAATCTTGGCCTTCTTCATCAACTTTCCTAAAGAATACACGATATTCCTGTGCCGCCTGTCTTACAGAGGATACAGGACCTGTTAGTCCTATAATTCTTGGATCAAATTCTGAAATCACACAGAAAAAGAAGTGAGAACTTGAGAACAGCAAAATCACAGAACCATCTGAGGAGAAAAGGAAAGAGGGATCAAACAATTAACCTTTTAGGTAAGCCTTGACTTGAGCACAGGTGTCACGTTGAGGATCAATGGAGATAAAAACAGGTTTAATCTTGAAATTGTATTCAGACTCTGCTTACAGGTAAATTTCTATCAACAATGATCATCAGCTATGCTATATCACATAACAAGGAAAAAGAGGAAATAAAGTCACATGACAAGCTGGTTAGAATACCCACACACTTAACCCTTTATTAGAGAGAAGAATTAACATCTTTCAGTACACATATGGATCACTTGTAGATAATGATAATTACAAACCACTAGGCTAAAGCTCAGCTGCAGCATTATTATTTATTCAGGACATTCAAATAGAAGAAGTGTTAAATGTCTGCCCTTTTTTCCTTATCAAATCAAGACGATCAGGCTGAAAATTTTCTTGTTTTATGGTTGTACAGATGAAAAATATTAACAAATGATCATACATTCTGACAAATCATCCAAGTTGACTGATGATTTTATAGAAATGTGTGAAGGGGTTTATTTTCACCATAATGACACTTAACACATAACACATAGACATTCTACATGGGCCTTTTCAGCGACGTCCTACCTCCGGCAAAATTAGACATATTTATCATAAAAAAATACAACTAATAAAAAAGTCAGACTCAAGTTGTTTCAAAAAATGTTTTAAAGCTACCAAAAGATATGCAAGAAAAAATTTCACCTAATACTTTAATAACATCAGCCATCTTTTTAACTTCTTCTGGTCCAACATCAGGTGACGAAGTGTACCCAAAATACATGAGTACCCAATTTCCCTGGAAGGTTGATTCAGTTACAGAATTATTTTCAGTATCGAACAGTTTGAAGGGCCCTCCAATTGCTGGTCTGTTGACATTATTCCTCTCGTAAACAATACTTTGTTCTGAACCTGTCAATAATATGTAGATGAGACAGTTACTGGTAAAATATCTCACTGGAATATCTGAAAAGAAAAAAATAGGGATATAATAAAGACAAGATCCCAACTTTTTCCTAAAGCCCTTGCTTTAAATTTATCATTGTCTTACTATATCTATCAACAAGATGCAAGGTCCCAATTATCTGTGGATGACTGCATAAATCATGTGTTAACTTGTAATAAAGAAGAGTATGCACAATGAATACATAGTTATAGTAACTTAAGCATACATATTGCTCATTTTATAATGAGTTAAATGTTATGCCACTGATACTTTATTATGTGTTACATTAACTTTTGGTATTGGTCCTTGTCTAGTTATTTGGGAGTACTAATCGCTTAAAATCATTCTGATATAACAATAATGGAAATGTGATGATTGATGCAGTAGAATTCATTAGGTTACTTGTCTGGAGCCAATATAGTTCTTGCCCATATTCAAGCAGTATATTGTGTTTGATAAGAAGTTATGGCCATGGCTCATTTAATCATTCATTCTCATTAACTATGATGATATCTTTAATAACCTAACAATGTGCCTGTTTTTCTTTCTTTTTTTTTTGTTGTTGTTGCAAATGTTGCAATGGAATTTGACTGTAAATCTAAAGCTATCAGATGCATAACTGCACAATCTAAACCAAATAATTTTGCTTCATAAAACCCATTGGATGTCTCAGAAATAATATACATATTGCTCAAGAAGGAAGATAAGTAGAAGATAAGGTCATTATATTTGCATCTAGATTTGTTTCAGCTCTTAAACTGATCAATTATAATGGATGTTCAGATAGCAAAACTTAAATATTGTCATCAGAAAAGCAGTCAAGCAATTTTTTTTGGCAGAAAACAACATATCAAAGATTCCTAATAACAAAAAGATTTTTACCTTTTAAGATTGCTCGCTTTTCATCATTATAATGAACATACAGGCCAGTTCCAGCGATCAATAATACCGCGGTGGGCTGTGAGAAATCCAATACATCAATTCAATCATGATACATCCAACACAAAATAACTATTAAGTATACAAAAAGAGACAAAAAAATGACTTCAGTATCTATCATCATAAACCAAATTGGTACTTTTCCATCGGCGTACAATAACATAAGCTATCCATGACCGAGAAGCCAATGGCTCATCATTTTCTAAAACTTGTTTTGGTAGCTTATGATTCCCGAAGTTTGATCCATTTGTATAGCACCGAGGTTCGAATTTTTGAGAAGGATAAAACCTACAGCAACATGAGCACAATTAGAAATTTCAAATATGTAATTAATATATGGATGTTCTTGGGCAAAGAAAGCATAGTCACTAGCAAACTCCCAAACAAATCATTAGCAATATCAATTTATACAAGAATCTGTCACCAGAAGTAAATCTTGCATCTTAGAACCAACAAAACCAGTCATGTTTCATGCAATTATACCCACATCTTAATAAGATGCATCTTCAGCACCATTTTCTCATTCGTGGTTCACCTTGTTCAAAATTCACCTCATTTGACTTGGAACCTCTGATAGGAGGTACCTGTCTCTTCATTCCAAAAACTTTAGTTGGACATGCCACCATGGTTGACTGCCTCCACCAGACATTCATAGAAGGCAATGTCATCAACCATGGTAGCATGTGCCACCATGGTACAAATGCCTTCTTTAGATATTCAAATGTTAATCAAGTTCCATTTATGTTAATTAAGAAAAGCTGTGATTCCAAATTGAATAACCACAAGAATAGTAAACGAGGTCACAAGTGATTATCTCTCCAACGATTGTTTCTGTCATCCTTACATAGCTTCAAGGTGCACATATCCATGACAAACCTTTTAGCAATATCAAGGAAAAAGATGGGGTACAAATGTACGATAGACCTAGAAAAAAATATGGCATGAAGTGCCAGATGTTTTGTTCTTTGTTCTGCCAAAGTAGATCATCATGAATCAAGGCGGAGTAGAATAGATCATATATGAAGACCTTGCAGAATGTGAAGAACCTTCAAAGCTGTCTCACTTCTCTCTTGGAGGCCACTAGTTTGACATCACATGATCACAAGAGCACCTCCCCCAGTTTAGACCTAAATAATGTTACAATCAATGTGATACCATGATTAGTTCCACTTCGGATAGATATAATTCTAGCTCATGTGGCTTTTTGGGCTTGGATCAAGAAGAATATAATGTCATAGAAACAATCTCTCAAGGTGTACATGCCGCATTAAGACATAATGTAACAGCCCAATTCGGTATGTCCCTCATCAAAGCCCCCCCACGATTTAATTATTCCCTTATCAGGCCAACCTGATAGATTTGACTAGTATACGAATTTCTACTAACCCCAAAAGTAGGAAATTATAACTACTTGTTCCAAACTCTCATGATTAAGATGAGTTCTATTTATGTTAATTAAGCAAAGCTGTGATTCCCAATTGGATGACCCCAACAATTGTAAAGCAAATTGCAAGTGTATATCTTCCTCCAATAGTTTGCTATATCATCCTTGCATAGTTTGGAACTTAGTGCACACATATCCATGACAAACCTTTTAGATTTATAGAGGAAAATGATGGGTTACATATGCACGATAAACCTACCTTTTAGTTTTCTAGTAAATATAATGCTTTGATTAAATATAATAAACCTTGATAAAAATATGGCATGAAGTGTCAGACAAAAAATACCTATAATATAATGCTTTGATTAAATATAATAAACCTTGATAAAAATATGGCATGAAGTGTCAGACAAAAAATACCTATAATATAATGCTTTGATTAAATATAATAAACCTTGATAAAAATATGGCATGAAGTGTCAGACAAAAAATACCATTTGTCTTTATATGAAAGTAGATGGTCATGAATCAATGTGGAGTAGAATAAATAAAAAAAGATCCATAGAACTTGATGAATCTCAATTATCTTTCATCTCAAACGCTGTCTCATGTTGTCTGAAGGCGTCTAGTTTCACATTGAAAGAGTATCTCCCCCAATTTGGACCTAAATAATCTTGCAATCAATGTGATACCCTGATTAGTGCCACATTGTATATAGTATGGCTTAGATAGTATACGAGTCACTACTGACCTTCAAGCACTTTTTGAATTTTGTGTACACCTTTTTTTCTTTTTTCTTTTTTGGCTTAGCCCATGTAGTTCTTCGGCCTAGATCGAACAAATACGATACCAAAGCAACAACCTTTTGAGGTGTATGGACCATATTGGGACTTATCATACGTAGTGCTACTCATGCCAAGAGAAAAACTTGGTGTATTTCTATCCATCCCAAGAGAGGAACTTCTAATTACTCCTTTATGCAGGCTTGGCCCACGTGGTTTTCACATCAAGGTCATGATACATAGTGCATCCCCATGAATTTCCGCACTGGCAGGGACAAATAGCGTGGTAAATATAAGCAGCGTGATAGGCAACAACAACTGTGAAAACTCGTATCACCCATGTAGACTCTTGACCCGTGCGTGACTTTGAATGGACTCGACAATAAAATTAGGTAATTACATGTTATTAGTCTCGAATCAGGGGCGGCTTATGACTCTAGCTTACAATGACTCACGACCCACCTCCAAGAAGCACCTTTTGAGTGCTCTTTCTGGACCAAATCGAAGGAATTAACGCAAACACATGTCGGGCATTGCAAGCACAACCAATCAAACAAAGTTAGATAGACAAAAAGAAAAGATAAACAGACTAATCACCGAGGTCGCCAGGGAGAAGGACTGGAGACGTTGAGCGCCGAACGAAGCGACAGGCTGCAGAGCGCGGAACGGATCATGTCGCCGGAGAGAAACCAAAGCTGAAAAGAGAAGCTACCGGCGGAAACACGGGAAGGCGCATCAGGAGAAGAGCTCCCCCATCTAGGGAACAGGACAATGACTCAAAGAGAAGAAAGAGGTGAAGAAGAAGACGGGAAGATTTGAGCTTCTCGGCAAGAGCTCGAGCGCTCTCTTTCTGTCGCTCGCTCGGTCGCTCCGCCTCTCCGGGGTCTTAAGGCGTCGCATGGATCGGCACTCCCACCAGAAACCCAATGGTGGAGGCCCAAGATCCACTTTGTCAACGGATCATTTTGTTACGGGACCCGTTAAGGATCCGCATCCGACCCGATCTAAGAAGAGTAAACGGTAAACCATTCGTTTCTCGATCATTCATAATCAGCATCGAATGAAAGATAAACAACATATTGGGAAGATCCAAAACCGACCCGAAAAGCTTAGTGGATGGATCCCGTATCGTTAGACCCGTACCCGAAAAATCACGTTTCTTCGGACAAGGTTCGCATGCCATCGCATGCCATATGATTTCATTGACTCTTCCCTCTCGGGGGCCAAATACATGACTTGGTGCTCAAGACAAGCCTCACTGTTTATATAAGCTATATCATCATACAATGTGAATACTTTTATTCTTCCCCCATACACTTTCTAAGGAAAGAAATAAAAGAGATTTACATTGAAGATTATGACTCTAATTCGAATTGATTTCTTTAAGGGAAATCAAAACCTCATGATCTATATGTTTTGAGCTAATTAGATATTAGCTTATAATTAATTATTCTTAATCTTTCGATTCTTATATTCTTATACTCATAAAAGTGAAATATTTAATCTCGTTTCTTCTCGTGCCGTTAAAACTGTGCTGATAGAAATATCATGAAATTTTTTATTGAATACATATTAATTTTGTTTCACTTCGATTTATCATTCAGGATATATAGTATTTTCATTAGTAAAATCGATATCATGAAAAGAAATTAAATATTTTACTTTCGTAAGTATAAAATTTATAATATAATTTTAAAAATATAAAAATCAAGATATCAAAATAACTAATTACAGATAATAATGTATAATTAACCTTATTTATTTTCTACGTCGACCAACGGTGGTCAACTGAACTGCGTTAAACTGCTGCATCAGTAGAGGTGTTGCAGCAACTGCTGAGTTCTCCAAATTGCCACAAGTTTTCTGCAGTTCATGCTGAACTCAGTTTAATATAATATTTTAGGATTCTGAAATGTTGTATTCTAATGTAATGAACAGCAGCTTTCTAATTCAAAGTTTCCTAATTTAATTGATTTGCTAACTTTTGAGTTGAAATTTAGAAAATAAATATTTTAGCTTCAATTTACTAAGAATCATTTAGGTAAAGATATTTTAAAAATAATCATAATTTAATACTAAAACTAATTATTATTTTATTTTAATATCGTACTTAAATGGCTCATACTAAGATATTTATTTCCTGAATTTCAAATCACACATTAGGAAATCAATTAAAATAATTTAATTTGGAAAATTCAAATTTAGAAAGGGATGGATAAAACATTAGAGGAAAAAAATATGGAACTTTAAATAATTATATATCATACTATACAAAAAATAACTCCAATATGGAAAAGCTAATTCACCAGCATTTTTCATGCTAAATCTCCCCATACGGAACAGATTAGAAATCCCCCATCTGCTTTGGTATTTGGTGAGGATTGTGAGGAACAATATTTATATTCAACATCAGCTTAAGAACATACATCATCTGTGAGGCAAGCAGCTCGTAAGCATATGGATATAAGTCCATCCGTGTGACAAGTCAATGCGACTTATCAACCGGTGTGTGTCTCTCACCACCGTACGTTTGTGGTGCATTATCCTCATCATACGATCCATGCCATGACATGGTGTTCGAGTGGGCGCCATTCCATGAATGGTCAATGTGATATGCCCATCAAGGGATTTCGACATGGACCTAACTTGACATGGAGAGAGGGAGTGTGTTAGGCTCCATTGATGGCTACGTATATATGGTATGTCCGAAGATGTTGCATGCTCCAAAAGATAAGGTTCCACTGGACTACCATTGAATTATACTCAGGTCAGAGTTGGTCATCCCATATACAAACTGTGTCTGATCCAACGATATGATGAATCAAGTAAATGATGCACATATTTGGAGATAAGTACGTACTTCCACTGTCAAGAAAAATATTTGTATTCTTTTAGGAGATACTTGTCGTGGAAGGAAGCCTAAGTTTGACACTTTCTTCTCTCTCTCTCTCTCTCTCTCTCTCTCTCGTTTCCAAACCCCATGAAAGATCCATGGTTGTTCTCAAACACTTGCCGGCTTTCAACCAAAAGCTCATCCAATAAGGCAACGAAGCCGAGAACTCTTCTTGCTCATCTCTGCTGCTGTCTTCTAAGGATCCACTGATATCCCTTTCTCTCTCTCTCTCTCTCTTCCATTTCTTGTCTGTTTAATGGACTCAGCTAAGAGTAGCAGTCTTCAACCGTCCGGGGGTGGCGACGATGAGTTTGGTTCTCCCGCCGCTCCTCTGTCCGCCTTCTTCCGCTCCAGAACTAACACCTCGGACGCCGCCACCTTGCAACCATCACCCTACTACTACGGTGACTACCACTTCGACTCGCTCTCCACCCGTCCTTTCACCAGTTTCCCGTCCACTGTAACGTTTTCCTCCTCACCGCCATCTGCCTCCGTCTCCCATGGCGCTGGCGTCGGTGCATCACCGGCGCAACAACTACCTGACCAGTCTAACGTCGCTGCTGCGACACCTGCGACGGAACGGAGCTCTAAGAAGCGGTGCAGGGCGTCACGGCGTGCCCCGACGACGGTGCTCACCACCGACGCCTCCAACTTCCGCGCCATGGTGCAAGAACTCACCGGCATCCAGTCCTTCGCGGCCTCCCCCTCCCCTTGCGCCGGCGCTCGCCTTGGCATCTTCCACTCTGCCGCTGCCTCCCGTTCCTACTCTGACCCTCTGTTGCCGGCGTCATCTTTCTTGCTCCCTCGCCCCTTCATGCAGAAGGTCCAGTCTCCTTCCTTCCTTCCCATCTCTTCTACTTCCCCTGCTCATTCTAGCTCCGCTGTTACTGCCATTAATAGCATCTCCAATGCCACCACTAGTAGCGATGGACATCGTTCAGCCAGTAGCAAAAGCTACCAACTACGTTCGTCATCACATATTCTTCTGCAGCGAGAAGTATATATGAAGGAGCAACTGCAAGGCGAAGATATGATGGAGGAGATAAAGAAGAGGTGTAGATAGCCAAAGAGGAGGAAGATTGAGTTACTGCTTCAACCTAATTGGTATTGGTGTTGACACAATGATTAATGTGCTTACCTTAGCTCTTGCCGTAGATCTCCAGTGAGATAGATATCACATGAAGATTATAAGAGATGTGGTGGTGCAAGGCAGTAATGAGACATATATATATATCTCATGTGTACCATGTTCTGATGGAGTGGGAATGATTGGTGAAGATTGTTGAGGCCTCATCACAAACTAAATTGCCTGCTTGCTTCACGCCTGTTTGTGAAGAGCATCAAATGCCTATTTATGCTGTTGTTTTGTGGTCCTAAAATACTTTGGGTTGAACTGTGATGTGATGTGTGTGTGAAATGACGTCGGGTTGCTTGCCGCTCGCAATGTCTCGATCAGAATTAAAAGATAAGTTTCTTCCTTTAAGTCTGAATTAACAGATATTATAACAGATATTAAAGTCTAAAATAAATTATTAATATATATAATTTAAGTTAATAATAATAATAATAATATTATTATTATTATTATTATTTCTTGTTCCCTTCGGTGACCTCGCAGCGCAAGTCGTCAGTGCAGGAGCAAGCGAGGACGCCTCTACTGCCGGCGGTCACGCCGGAGCAGAGGCACGCTTTTGCTCTAGCCGTGGCCTCGATGGCAATGGCGAAGGCGACGACTGCGATAGCGCAAGCGGTTGCGAAGGTGGTTTGTCTCATCAGGCCTTCTGCTAGCTTCGTCAAGGAGCATTACGTCGCCATCGTCATCCAAACTGCCTTCGAGGTTATTTGGTATATGACTCTTCGCACTCTCTCCCTCTCCTTTTCTTCTGGAATCCAGGGATAGCTCTAAGGGAGGCTTGGGTTCGGGTGTGCAGTGGAAGGCGAGGAGGGCTGCTGCAGGCTTTGAAGGGGCTCATGAAGCTGCAGGCATTGGTGAGGGGGCACAACGTCCGGAAGCAAGCCAACATGACGTTGCGATGCATGCAAGCGCTAGTGAGAGTGCAGGCGAGCGTGAGAGACCAACGCATGCGGCTGGCGCAGGAGTTGTCGGCAGCGGTTTCTCGCGGTAGCAACAAGTCCTCCTTCAACTGCTACACCTCCTTCTGGGAGTCCAAGCACCTCCAGGAGCTCGCAGAGAGGAGATCCATGGTAACTAACATGTCCCTGAGAAAACCCAAGCTTTCTTTTCTCGTTATGTGTCTTCCTTATTTGGTGGAATGAGCAGTCTGAGGGACGGGAGTAACTTTTAACATTTAAGCTTACTAAAATATTATGTGTTTATAGAATATTTTTAACATTTAAGCTTCTAAAAATCAGAGTATCAACCTAAAAAAAATGATCCAAATGCTTTAGAACAACTTTCATTACATCCAGATGGACCATTATAATGACTTTTCTAATTTAGAGAATTATTTCAATATTTTCTGATTTATTTATAAATTTGTATAATTTGTGACTTTTAGAATTTCTTTATATTTTCTTCTATTTTTACCAAAATATTATGTATTTAAGTAATTTTTTTTAATATTTGAGCTTCTAAATATGTTCTAAAGCTATCATAAAAAATTAGTTCAAAAAGTCAACTTTTAGTATTTGATATTCTGAGTTTAATTTGACCTCAAAAATCAAGATATCTACATCAAAAAATGATTCAAATACTTCAAAATTTATAGGATAGCTTTTAATTGCAAATAGATGGACTGTAAAAATAATTTATCTAATTTTGATAATTATTTTAATACTTTTAATTTTATTCAAAATTTATGCATTTATTTTTTTGAATTTTCTTCACATTTTTCTTATTCTCACCCAAATATGATGCATTTGTGTAATTTTTTAACATTTGAGTTTTTAAATATATTCTAAAGCTATGGTAAAAAATTGGTCCAAAAATAAAAAATAAATCAACTATTAGCATTCAATATCCTGATTTTGGTATGACTCCAAAATCAAAGTATCAACATCAAAGAATGGCTTAAATGCTTTAAAATTTGAAGGACAACTTTTAATTGAAATTAGATGGACCTCTATAGACCGTTAAACCAATAATTGAAGGACAAATTTTTTATTTATATATAAACCCATTTTATTATATATAAATAACTATTAAACCCCTTTTTTGAAAACTATTTTATTATATATAATTATTATAATTATATATAACAATTATAATGTTTAGATAATTAAAAGACAAAGAAAGATAAGGGGTACGAAAGAGCAACTCTTAACCTTGTGGTCATGAGTTCGATCCTCTTTGTGGGTGTCTTTTTTATTCGTCTGGTCAAATAGTAATAGGCGTTCCAAATAACTCTAAATCTCGGTTTGCATTTACATTCTGCTCTCTATCTTAACTGGTTGATGAACTTTCTGAAATGGTTTTCATCGAAAATACAATCAAAAACATGAAATTAGAAGAAAAAAAAACTTTAATGTGGACAATTTATATGTATGATCGTGTGCCAAATATCAATTAACGAGTGGCACCAAATATTCCTGCATGTAACAGAGGTATTACAGGGTCATGCACCGACATTTGGTTCCACTTACCTAACTGTTAGGCCGCGACACCCCATCTCATGTCTCCGCTCCCTTCCGCTATCCATCTTGTTCGTGTCCCGTATCTGCACGAGTTGCTCCGCGCCAACTTCGTGTTCCCGCTACGTGGTGGTGCCTCCACAGAGCTCCACGCGTCGTCGAGCCTCTCTCAACGCGTGGTAACACGATAACCATCTCCTCTCCGTCGCTCCACACAAAGCAGCGGGCCCCGCTCCACCCCCCCCGAGCCATCTCCGCCACGAATTCCAGCTCCGGTCTCCGACCGGTCACGGATATGCCTCGCGCGTAGCCGTACGCTTCCTAACCCGTTATTTGGTTTGTAACAGTAAGTCACATAATTATTTGTTTTACTTGTTAATCAGATGTAAACAGTTACATAACGTCGTGGATAAAGTTACAGATGTATTAAGCCGATTCTTCGTTGGTGCCAAATGTATCAAGTCGCAGTGAAGCAAATCTTATGGGAAAGAAGAGCTATCACAAGGCCATGCACCAACATTAGCTCAAGTTGGTTCCTCTTGCCCAACTGTTAGGCCGTGCCAACTTACTTTTCTCGTGTCTCCACCCCCATCCGGTACCCGTCTCGTTCGTGTCCCATATCCGCACGAGTTGCTCCGCGCCAACTTCGTGTTCGCGCTACGTGGTGCCTCCACAGAGCTCCACGCGTCGTCGAGCCTCTCTCAACGGCTTGGTAACACGATAACCATCTCCTCTCCGCCGGTCCACACAAAGCATCGGGCCCCGCAACGCCCCCCGAGCCATCTCCGCCACGAATTCCAGCTCCGGTCTCTGACGAAAAGATCCGGTCACGGATATACCTCGCGCGTAGCAGCACGATTCTTACACCGTTATTTGGTTTGTAACGGTGTCATATAATTATCATGTAACGTTGAGGATTTTACTTATTTCGCTTGTTAATCCGATGTAAAAAGTTACAGATCGGACTGAAGTTATTGATCAGCGGTATGATTTCCCACATGAAATCACCAAAACTCTCGCGCATATTTTGCCGGTTTAGATTTAAAACGGAACCGTTACGTACGTTATCATTGTAACAGATGTGACGCGACCCAAGAGAGGCGGCGGTGGACCGGCACGTGGCGGAAGTCGGGGAGGCGCTGCGCCAATGGGCAACCGGCAACGGATCGGATCCCGTACCATTCACCTCAGCCGTGAGTTGCGACCTGGCGGGGCCCGCTGGTTTCCGGCTGCGTCGCCACGCACCCACAGCGGGACCCGCTGCCGCCCTCGTTTAGAGAGTCGGGATACATAAAATAAGTTCTCACCCAATTTTTGCTCTTCTATCCCGGTAAAAGAATTCGTTCCTGGACGCCGACCAGAGGAGAAGAAGTCTCTAGAGACAGAGAGAGAGAGAGAGGAGGCAGCCAACCCAGATACAGTACAGCTTCTTTTTAAGGTTGGGGTTTCTGGTTCCCGTTCTTCTTCGGTAGATGATTCCTGGTTCTTGAGATCTTGAGGTGGACAGGGAGGGGATTCATGAGGTCTCTGTTGATCCGAGTTTGAGTTTCTATTTGATATCTGAATCTTTTTTGCTTTCATGTTCAGGGTTTCTGGTCCCGCTCTTCTCCATGATTCCTGGTTCTTGAGTTCGTGAGGTATCTGTTGATCTGAGGTTTGTGATTCTTTTGATGTGATCATTTCTTTCTTTTCTTGATATGGAGCATTTAGGAGGGTGGGTTGTTTGTTCTTGCGGTCTGACTATAGAGTGTCGATTTTGCAGGGAGAATTGGATTTAAGGGGATTTGACGGGCTCCGGCTGAAGGATGGCAGATTGGAACGAGCGCGAGGCATATTTTCTTACACTCGAATTTATAGCAGATTTTTGTTTTGTTTTCTTTTATTTATTACCTTTTTTTCTTGTGGATTTCTTGTAATATGCTATTTATCGTTTTTTCGGGTATATAAGGTAGTAATTGATGCTAGAATCTCTCTCTCTCTCTCGCCACACTTTGAGATCGGCACCTTCTCGGTAGACTTCATAGTTAGGTGTTTAGTTTCTTCGGGTACATAAGGTAGTAATTGATGCTAGATTCTCTTTTTCTGATACCACACTTTGAGATCGACGACTCTTGGCAGATTTCATAGTTAGGTTTTTGGATTCTTCATGATTCAGTTACATCTGTCCACAACGATGTGTTTTTAGCTGTGGGGATGGGTTTTATCATGATGCGTTATCTAATTTTCTGTGAATGAAGACATTCATTTGGATTTGAGCGATTTGTTAGGTGTAGTTGATGCTTAGTCTTGTATATGCAAGCTTTGGGAACATAATCCCTTGCGTCAATATCCTGCCAACTGGCCAAGCCATAAACAAGAGAACTGCATACAATTGGATGAAAGAAAAACGGCCTTGATGAACACTAAAAGTAATAGAGAGATTTGAAACACTTTGTAGAATGGTCTGCGTTTGTGTGGGAGCTGGAGACTCATTGTATCATGCAAAGTTGTTTTAGGCTGTTGCTAGTGATGGTTACAGTTCTCAAGGCAGCTGCGAGGAAAATTTCTTTATGAAATGAAATGCCAGCACGAAGAACTTCAAGCATTCAACCAACCATGAATGGTTAGAACCAACATCTCAGAAAAAGAATTTTCACTTGAACCACTGTTCTCAAAAACTGTCTTGTTTCTCATGTGCCACAAGACCATCATAGAGCTATAGCAAGCGTATTTTACACTTTTCAACAAGTCTGGGGTTTGTATTGTGATAGCCAAGTGGACATGCAATAATTCAAGTGGGCAGGGTGATAAGATCCTGAGGTTTTATCATAAAAGAAAGGGGAAAAAAGGGGGTGATCACTTCGAGGGGATCGGTCTCCTAGGGTTTGTCAGAAGACTGAAATAATATTTCATTGATTGTTGAAATGAAACATATACATATCTATTTATAGAGTTTCACCTAGAGTCCTCAAGGACTTGGACTCTTAAATAATAAATAAATATCAAATAAACCCCTATCCAATTTTTACTGAACTAGACAAACTCAATAAAACATTATTCAAAACTCAGAAAATAAAGGGATTCTAACAATTCCTCCCCCTTCAAATTAGTCTTGTCCTACAGGCTGAGTAGCACTAAACTCAGTGAGCTTTTCTTTCAGCACTTCAGACATAGGGTATTTGCGGCGCATTACAACCCGTTGATCAAGTAAGTACGGTCTCCATTTCTTGATAGTGTAAGCAATAGGTTGGCCTTTCGGTGTAGTAGTCATTGCAGTTTTCTGAAGAACCCTCTCCAGCCGATGGTTAGTGGCAGTTGTGACCTTACTTCTACGTCGTCCCTTTAGGATTATCTACTTTCGATTAATAAAAAATTTCATGGTTAGTTTAGAAAAATTTCAAGAAACGTCACCCAGGGTTGATAGTCATTCTATTCCAAGCAACACTTGAAACATTTTATCTTCAAACATTTGCTATCACAAGTTAAAATTCATCCATCAGCGACTTTTACTTCGAATTTGTCACAATATTCAATGCGGTAGTCCAATCGGTCAGCAACCTTACTGTCCATAAAATTGTTAGTGCTACCAGTATCAATCAAAACTATAACATGCTGATATTCCAAAGTTCCTCCAACTTTCATAGTTTGCAGGTTGGAGTAGCCGGCTAATGCATGTACTGTATATATGATAGGTTTGACATTTTTACCATAATCCATACCTTCATGATCAGAGCCCATATTGTTAGCTTTCGGTTTCTCCCCAATTGGTTCAATCATCAGATGTTGCCCTTGTTTACATCGGTGCTCCCTACTCCATTTTTCATTATAGTGCCAGCACAAACCCTTCGCTAATCTTTCCTTGAGTTCTTCTTGGGTTAGTCTTCAGGTGTTAGGGTTTCGACAGGGAATAGATGGGGTGGGTGGCTTGCTGATCATCTGTTTGTTGTCACTTCTGTTTCGACGATTTTCCCTGCTGATTATTTCCTCATGCAAATGTGCAAATGAGGCTGCAGCTGTCATACTACGGGGTTGGCGAGCTTTAACTTCACACCGGATATCTGGATTAAGTCATTTAATAAATGTTCCCACCAGTTATCGTTTGGACCAGTCTCTTGCTTGATTTGACAATCATTCAAATCTGCTCTGATATTCTAGCACTATAGAAATCTGACGAATTTTAGCAAGCTGCCTATTAACATTCTCATATTCAAATGGTTCAAAGCGAACGAGAAACCCTCTCTTGAATTGTTTTCATGAGGGAACCCCATGGCAAGTTTCGTACCAATAATGCCATTGTATTGCATCTTCATCTAGTTGGATTGAAACTATTTCCACCTTGGATTCTTCTGGAGTAATGTGAAAACGGAAATTTTTTTCTGTTCTAGAGATCCAGCCGGTCGGATCTCTATCTTCTCATCTTGGGAATTCCACCTTCATGTGTGGATAGCTTGTGTTTTATTCTTGGTTTATTTTTCCTATGTCTCCAGATCAGTTCAATGTAAGACTTGAAGTTTCATTTTGTTGAAACTTGCTAGAGCACTCCAATAGACTCTTTTTAAAATCGTTAAGGGTTTCTTGTAGCCGGTTCTCAATTATGGTTTCCAAGGCTTCTAATTGGGCTTTCACTGAGTTATCAGTAGCCATTGCATAAGACTGCAGATCTGTAATCTCCAACTCCTGTTTCTGGTGTCAGTTCAAGGGCATCAGTACTGCACTATCCGGTGCGGCTGTTGTGAAGTTTGGCTTGAGGCATCATTGAGGGCGTAAGAGAATGCGAAGCTGCCGAGGAAGCAGATGCCGAGGGCAGCGTAAAGGCTTGCTGCAGTCGCTGCGAGGAGTAAAGGTTGCAGCCTTGTTTCTGTCATTGTATGGGGTGCGAGTGCCGAGGGATCGTGAGCGGTCGAGGGCTGAGGCTGTGGGGCTGGAGTGCCCGAGGGCGGCTGCGGCTGCTGTGACCCAAGGGGAGTGATCGCCTAGGCTAGGAAGGAGACGATAGTGCAGCTATGGGGGCTGGAAGGCGATAGCGTCAGCGTGGGGAGCGACGAAGGGGGTGGTTCACTGGCCGGGAAGCAACGGCGACGACCCTTTATCGCTCGAGTAGGATGGGGTGTGGCCGTCGTCACGCTGCTCTCGGCTGGGAGGCGCGTTGCTGAGGGTTGGGATGGTCCGCCGATGGTAGGAGATGCTAGCAGCGTCGTCTCCGATGGAGGCACGGTTGAGGCGACTGTAGAGATGCCGAAGACCGCGGTTGGGAAACAGAGGCGGTGGCCCTTTCTCGCTCGAGCGGGATGGGGTGCAACTGCCCTCACGTTGCTTTCGGCTGGGAGGCACGCTACCGAGGGCTGGGATGGTTCGTCGAGGGTAGGAGATGTTGGCCGCGCTGTCTCCGGTAGAGGCGCAACTAAGGCGGCTATAGAGATGCCGAGGACAACGGTTGGGAAACAGAGGCGGTGGCGCTTTCTCGCTCGAGCAGGATGGGGGTGGTCCGTTGTCCGGGAAACAACGACGACGATGGTCACTGGCCAGGAAGCAGCAACCCTTTCTCGTGGCGACGATGGTCGAGGGGACCGACCTCTTTGATCATTTCGAGGGGATCGGTCTCTTAGGGTTTGTTAGAAGACTGAAATAATATTTCATTGATTGCTGAAAAGAAATAGATACATTCCTATTTATAGAGTTCCACCCAGAGTCCCTTAGGACATCGACTCTTAAATAATAAATAAATATCAAATAAATCCGTGTCCAACTTTTATTGAACTAGACAAACTCAATAAAACATTATTCAAAGCTCAGAAAATAAAAGGATCCTAACACAAGGTGACATCAAATGCCTTAGTTGGAAACACAATCCCTCCAATGAATTATAACAAAAGGGCAGATAAGAGTAAGTGATCATCAGTCTCTGTAGCTGAATGGAAAAATGAATCGACATGTAAATGCAAGGAAGTGCTGCTTCTTCAGTATACAACTATGAGCAGCTAATGATGTAAAGAAGACACACTTGCATGTGATCTTTTAGCCAAAAATTCTTGCCAGAGGAAGGACCAACCTTTTTGAAAAGCACAGAAGGATTTAAAAGAGAAATATTGATTCATTGTCCATCTGCACTGGATAATATCAAGAGTAGCTGCGGCTGCAGAATAGATGACCTTGGGACTGAGTCCACAGTAAATAGATTTGAGAGATATCCCCAAGTAACATGCCGGCCATCCTGAACCACTTTGGAAGAGATTCGGCAGCTGGTATTTGTTACTAGACTGAAGATGTCACCATGTTTCTCTTCCAATGTGAACAACACAATAGGTACTACCTTGAAAGTTATCAACCAGTCTTTGCATGTCCCTTGGGAATGGTATGAATAGGAGGCAACAAACAGTCACAGGGTGACGAATGCTTGTTATGGAAAGTTTCATTTTCTAAAGATAAAAAAAGGGCTTAACCTAGAGCGCTAGACTTTTGGCAACGCAGGGCCTAGGGAGGGTTATTATATGCAACTTTACTTTATTATGATGAACAAGAATATTTTATTCCAAGGAACATATGTTTTAGCCATTTTTCAACCTTCCGCATGTGCCTCCTTTGGCAACTTTTTAAAAATTTTACAGTTCATTTAGTCTTCGGACTTGTACGGTGACCTGCCTATCTATTTGCTATATCCTGCAACAGAAACAGAAGTGTGAACAATTCAGCAAGCATCGTGTGAGAGAACTTAACCATTGGCATGATAATTACTCAAATGGTTCCAATTTTAAAACCTAGCATGCTATGAAATTTAAAATAATGGTGGTTGTGTTTATTTTGTGCTATTTGGCTTTCCCCTTGTTCCTGGCTGACAATCATATTTTTGCGTCTCTTGGAAAATGACATTATTTTCAATTTCACCAGCCCCTTGTACACACACACACACACACATAGAAGCCATGGTGTCCTGAATGCAAGTGATTTAGTTTGGTTGAGTTTTGTTTGTGCATCTAATATCTTTGATGTTTCCCCTTTTGCATCTGTGGGAGAGAGAGAGGAACACTGAAGATTATAATTGCATGGTCTTTTAAGAGTTCTGACCTTTTGTGGTGGCCAAAATTCACGGAAATGCTCTCTTCACAAGGGAGAAAAGGATAAGACTGGAGTCATTTTATGCATTGTTTCTTACTTGAAAAAGAGAAAAAAAAAAGGAACAAATGAAAAGTGGGAACATTTTGCTTTATAAATATCTTCCAGGAAGTGATGATTTTAATATGCTAGTTGACATGAGGCACAAATTTTCCTTTTGTCTCCTTTTTGAAGCAAGACAAAATAGATCATCCATGAATCATGCCTCACTCTTTTTGAAAGTCAAATATTTGTTAGTTTTGAGTTATTCTTCCACTGTCATAAACAAATTGAACCTTATCTACAGATTACAGTGGTAACTTTTTATATGGCTTTTAATTGACCATCCAGATTGAGGATATTGTTTTTGGTAAATTTGGCGAAAACGATGACCAAAGAGTGGCCCACCGACATGGTAGACCAGTCAAAGAGTCTCTAGCTTCGGGTGATATTCTTGTCACTGGAACAAGTGAAGATAGCATAGTGTCCAAGACTAACGGCGTATGGAGAAAAGAAGGGACAAACATTTGCCCTTTGGAAATTGGAAATTCCAGGATTGTTGCAGGTTTGTTGCCTCATGCTATAAAAATAACTTGTCAGCCTCACATGATCCTTTGTCTGTACCTTTTCAACTCCTGGGAATCGTCAAATTCCTGACAACTTCAAACAACACAATGTAGGTTTAGACAGCAACACGTGCAGCACAAGCTATTCTATTGGTGCAAGTAGGGGCACTGTAGAAGAGATCGGCATCTGCCAACTGTCATTTGATAATAATACTACAGCTGATTCTAAACTTACTTTTTTGGAGAATGACAATGATCGAGAAACCGATCTTCTGTACTGTGACTGGTCTGATATAAGCAATTTTGAGGACGTTGATACAATGTTCAGGTAGGTCAGAAAGTTGGTATTTCAGATTAAGGCTTTAATTCTAATTTTGTATTCTTGTATGACCATCTGTTTTCATTTATTCTATTTCTTTTGGAGAAATTGTGACCCTACGTTTGGGCAATGGAGCAATACAGATGGCTGGTCACGGATTTCATCTTCTTCAAATGACATTTTTTATCCAGAAGATACTTTCATTTCAGGCTTTGAATCATCGACTTTAGAATTCAGAGACTTTAATGATGCATCAGCATATTGTGCAAACATCAGTTCCTTGCCTGAAAGCAATACACCAGAGGTTAATAATCATAGGCAATCATGTCTGGCCAACCAGTCCTTTGAATTACTCAGAAGCACAGAACAGGTTATTATACAGTTCCATCTCACCGTATAACTGTTGTGTTTGACTGACATTGTTGAATGATTATCCATGAAACCTTTTTCAAAATTTGTTTAATTTATCCCTGCAGCCATATGATGGTGGTGGAGGGAGCGAGACGAAATCAGCTCTAACAGAATTTGGCAATGTGAATAGCTTGAATGAATGTGAGGTAGCTGGGTTAAACCTTATGCATTCTTGCTATTGTTGAGTTGCCATGTATATTTGTAGTTTCTAAAGTGATCGAGAGTTGGTTGGCTGTTTGTGCTGAATTCAATAGAAGACTGAGATATAACTCCTTAGTTTATTCTTGATAATCTAACTTGTTCTTTTATTAGTTCAATTAACCTAATCCAATGGATCAATGGTTGAAAGTCAGCCTACTTGAAAAGATCATGATTTTTTTTCCTTCAAAAGATCATGTTACTTGGAAGTCTTGGACTAGAACAAGTTAACATTGTGTATGCTCATAACTCCTACTCTTCTGCATGGTTAAACATCTGTTTGGACTTTCATTGTTAATCATCGCTAGACGTAAAGAGGAATTGGTTTATGGATATTAGTTGATATATCTCTTTTTTAAAGTTTCAGCAGCCCCATATCAATATCCAAACAGAGCAGCTTAGTAGGCACTGCCCATCTGAAGTAGAGGGAAAAGGTTAGGATCTGATCGACACAAGTTATCTTTCTTTGCCCTTAGACATACAACAATTGGTCAGTATGAAATATTTGGGCTGATGTTTTGCAGGTTTTGAACCTTATCAATCTCAGATTCTTCCAAAGCATAATTGTTTCATGAAATCCGACCCTTCAAGTTATATGCCTGCCCTCAAACTTGATGCTCATATTGAGGACAAACTTCTGTACCAGGATCTTCTTATGCCCACAATGTCGAGCTCTATAAATGAATGCAAACAAAATCCTTCCTCCTCTTTTGAGATCTCAGCTCAGGCTATTAGTAACACCTCCCATGGCATGGAGAATTTACCTGATCTTATATCAAAAGATCCAGTCAAGCATCTCAAAGAAATGGTAGAAAAACCAAGCAAAGGACTACTAGAGCTGGATAATTCAGTTAAGGAGCAGCCTGATAATCTCGAACAAATGATTGTTAGTGACACAGGGAACATGGGTTTAGAGCTTCATGCAACAGATATGGATTTTACAGTGGGGAAAAGCTCGTCAATACCATCTGGTTTCTCTGAAGATGCTGCTGTAAAAGCTATTAGCTTTCAGCAACTTCAGGATGTCATAGGTCAGGTATATTTCTGATTGTTGCAGTTGGACAATTTCATTTTTAAGTATGCCTGTGTGCTTCGTTATGCTCACTACCTGATATGTGCATTGTCTCTTCTTGTATCAGAAGTTGAACTTTGTATCTTTATCTTACATGCATGCTATGTAGAAAAAGATCCAACTTACATGCTTCGCCAGTCTCAGTCTCTTTCATAAATAGGTTGTCTATGAATTAGGCAGTGAGAGGTTCACATTACATTAAAATGAATTTAATTCTAGTTGTTCTCATTGCAGTTGGATCTTAGAACAAAGCTATGTATAAGGGACAGTTTATACCGATTGGCCAGGAGTGCAGAACAGAGACACGGTTTTGCTGCTGCAAACAATGAGAATGTAGAGTGTCGAAGAGGAGTACATGGTACAGCAAATTTAAGAAAGTAAGCCTAAATTTAACTGTATGATTTAGCAAAATTCCTTTTTTGTTGTTTTGTCTTGGAAGGAACTGTAATAGTGAACCGTAGTTGGTTTCCAGTGTGTGCTTATAATTTTCCACAGCCTGAAATATTTAGGACCATTAGTTATTAATGCTGCATTTTTTTTGTTCAAAAGTTGTGTTACAACATGGTTTTGCACTAAGCCAATGATGTGTTGCATTTGGTTTTTGAAATATATTTTCAACTGGTATATTCAGTTACATGGATAAGGATTTCCATGTACTTTCTTGTTCAATCTCTCTCAAGAGAAGGATTGAAAGCAGCACAAAGCAGCATAGTTTTCTGCACCATATATGATGTGGTTTTCTTAATCTTTTATGTTTCTGGTCATAAGCAGGTCTGCAGCATACGTGGACATGGAAACAGAGACAAATCCCATCGATCGGTCGGTGGCGCACCTACTTTTCCATAGACCGCCAGAGAGTGCAAATAGATTTGCTGATGATGATGCTATGTCGCTCTCGAGTCTCATATGATGACGGTAAGACTTTTTTTTTTTTTTTTTCTTTTATTCTGTGAATATAATGATGGTCCTAACTGTTGTTTCAAGTTATTTTTATTTTTGAACTTTAGCTAACTTTAGGATTGTGACAGGCTTGACAGGTTAGTAAATCCTATCCCGCGGGAAGTATTTGATTTATACAGGTACTGGAGGTTACAAAAATTTACGTACTGTTGAATCATCTCCACAGGCGGAGTACCCACCAGCTTTTCTATCCCGGAAAGAGTGAAAAAGAAAAGTTCAAAAAGTAAATATGAGTCTTTTGGTGAGAGTTTATATATATATATATATATATATATATATATATATATATATATATATATATATATATATATATATATATATATATTCCATCTCTCTATCATAATCCCAGTCAGTCTTGTGCACAAGAGATTATAAATTTAGTAAGTGTCAGTACTATCAATCTAAGCTTACGTCACAGGCTTGGACTTCATGTCATGGATTTAATTTTGTTCGCATGAAGATTTTCCCCACTGGGCTTAAGTCCGATCCAACACCAAGCGAATAAGATAGAGAGAGGGTTCCGATCGATCCAAGAAATCTATAATATTTCCTAACAATATCAATTTAAGGTAGGTACATTAGCATCCATATAGTTAAAATAAAGCATCTATGTATATTTATTCTAACAATATCAATTTTATCGATAGAATTATAAAAACAAATAGCAAAACCATGATTTTAATGTTTGATGGTAGCGGGGCGACGTCGCTAGCGTCAACCTCGTTGCTGACATGTTGAGCAAATCCTAGCCACAACCTAAAGTTGGGGTTGTTGTAACTTATGTCACTTCCCTTGTTGTCGTGTTAGTTTCGACACCTCGTTGGGCGATCCTTTTGTCACTTTGCATTTGTGTTGAAGTAGTTGTCGAGCGATAGCAGGGGAGAAAAAGAAGCTCCAATGACTCTAGCTTTAGGTCGAAGTTGGGATTCGCCCAACGAGTCAATGACGAGGCGATCACCATCTTTGTCGTGGATGCCATGACGACCGACATCATCTGCAATAATACCGACATAATTGTCGCTCGACAATTGCATTAGCGTTGACACAAATATAAAGCAGCGCGAGACGAGTGACGGGAGCTCCAACTTCCCTAGCTTCAAGTTGAGGTTAGGATCCAATTGAGTCAACGACGAGACAACCATCATCTTTATCGTAGATGCCACAGCGACCAACACCATATGCGTCGAGGTCGATTTAATTGCCGCTCAACAACTATGCCAACATCGACGCAAAGCGACACAAGACAAGCTATGATGAGGTTGATGACGCACTCCTCATGGATACTGATGATGTCGCAATGAGATCGAACCTTATCATCATCGAATGTGATGAGGTGACTATGTTAACGTCAACGCCAACGACATCGTCGTCTTTCGCCATCAAACATTAAGATTACTTTTTTACCTTTTGTTTTTATATTTTCGTTGATAAAATCAATATTACTTGCAGATCACTGTCCCAAAGTGCAGTATGCTCTGCCAATTATGCAGATCAGTACTGTGATAGCATGCATAAAGTCACTGAGGACTCGATAAGCATGATAAGAATTCCTGATTGAAATCTTTTTAGCAGATGAGTAATCAGTAGTGAGGTGACATAGCTTCACATGGTCCTCTTTTAGGCATGGCAACCATTCAGGTATTTTTAGGTACCATGCTGATCCAACCTGCTTGAGTCATGATTTGGGCACTCACCGATCAAGAAAATGGATAAATAGGATTTAGGATGAACACGGATAGAAAAATAGGTATCCAAGTTGGGTTTGTTTGAGTTTGGATACTTGGTTGGGTCAAGGACACATGGTCATTAAAAAATGGCTGTGTATTAAGTTTTTGTAGGTATTATGCCTAGCCGACCTGCTTAAGGTGGATCAAAGTTACCTGCTAATTGAATATGCAGGAAAACAAGCAACCTTAATCGGGTTTGGGTAATTTTGATACCTGACAGACAGATTCGGTTACAAAAGTAAATTTCATGGGGTACCCTAAACTGTTTCTTAGTATCTTTGTTTGAATCTCACATTCAGATGCAATCACCAACATTCATTTTCATCAAGAATTGCCTAATTGTATACTTAACTCATGCCGGTCTCTTTTTTGCAGCAAAAGTAAATTCATGGGTACCCTAAACTGTTTCTAAGTATCTTTCTTTGAATCTCACCTGCAGATGCAATTACCAACCAATCATGTTCATCAAGAATTGCCTAATTGTATACTTAACTCATGCCGGTCTCTCTTTTATATTGCTCTCTCTTTTATATTGCTACAATATTTGTACCACATCATACCAAGAGTTGGTACACTCGGTACATCTGTTGGTCCATCCATATATGTTGTACCATTAGAAAAGTTGATTTCATTTTCCTTTGGTGGTTTTGGGGAATGATATATCATCTACGATAGGGGCACTCAGTACACGAGGTTCTTCCCAGTGCAAGGTGGGAGTCAATATAAGCAGCCTTCCTCTAAAAGCAAAGTTGTTTCTTTGTCATTTAATGCATCTGTCTCAAGAAAATGAAACATACGTATCAAGAGTCATGATCATATTCTATCACTTGGGATCACAATAGTGTCATGAGTGTATATATCTATATAACAAAGTATATGATAGCTTAGTGGATCAAGCAAACAACTAATATGCACCTTGACTTATTTGAAACAAAATATATCAAATATTCAAAGAAATAGTAACCCACCTTGTCAGTGTGTTTAAAAAAGGTTAATTATAGATTATCCCTTGTAGTTAGCTACATTTAGCGTCACAGTCTCTACACTTCAAAAAGTTACATTGACATCCCTATAATTACAAAAGTGAAACATCTAAGTCCATTTACTCTAACGACGTTAGTTTTATTAACGAAAATAAAAGACAAAAAGATAACTTTAACATTCAATGGCGAACGCCGTCGCCGACACAGTTACCTAGCCGCCTCCGACAACGATAAGGTTTGCTCTCACCGCAACGTTACTCGCCTCTACGAGGAGCACGCCACGCTCTGCATCTGCATTGACGTTGACACAATTGTCGAGCGACAATTGCGTCAGCGTCGACACAGATGGTGGTGGTCACAGAGCATCTACGACGAAGATGGTGGTTGCCTCGCCACTGACCCGTTGGGCGGATCCCAACCTTGACCCAAAGCTGGGGTCGCCGGAGCTCTTGTCTCTCTCGTGTCAGTTTCGACACCACCTCTTGCTGAGCGACCATTTCGTCGCTCTGAATCTACTTCGACGTCAGCGTAGTTGTCGAGGAGCAAAAGGGTTGCTCAACGAGAGATGGTGCCAGAATTGACACGACAAGGGGAGCGACAAGAGCTTCGACGACCCTAGCTTCGGCTTGAGGCTGGGATCCGCTCAACGAGTTAGCGACAAGGCAGCCACCATCTTCGCCATAAGCGCAACGACGACCACCACCATCTACGTCTACACTAACATAGATGTAGAGCAATGCGAGGAGGGCGGTGATGAGGTCGACAACACACTTCTCGTTGGAGCAGGTGATGTTATAGTGAGAGCGGATCTTATCGTCGTCGAAGGTAGCCAAGCAATTGTGTCGATGTCGACGCCAGCGACGCCGTCCGCTACCACCAACGTCGTCGTCTACCATCGAACGTTAACATTACCTTTTTGCCCTTTGTTTTCGTGTTTTCATCGCTAAAACTGACGTCATTAGGGTAAATCGACCTAGATACTTCATTTTCGTAACTATAAGGACGTTGATGTAACTTTTTAAAGTGTACGAGATGCTAAAGATAACTAACTACAAGGGATAATCCATAATTAGCCCACTTAAAACCCACATCAAGTGGTGTTTGAGCTAGTGGGCATACTTGGCACAAAAAACTATATTTAATTCAATTAATGCATCAGGTTGTACTCTAACAAAAAGGCTTATTATATCCAAAAGACTCTAGATTAAGTAAAATTGCCACTTATCTCTAACCTTTCCCCATATAAATTATAGCAAAGAATTTGGAAGAGTTACCTTGATTTCACGGCAAGCTCTTCCTCACGTTCAGCATGTTAATGCTTCTTGGATCTTTAGTGCAATTTTCTCATCTTGGAGAAAGTCTACAACCAAAATTTTGAAATGAAGTCTCCAAAGATGATAATGATTGTCCAACGTTTGGGGTGTGCCATCATAAGCCAGATTTTAACAATATGGCAATAAAGAAAAGAAGACAAATAATCTATTTAATTATTTATAAAAGAAGAGAGAATGGTGAAAAAGAGACATACATGGAGATCAAAGATTGATTGTGACGCAGGGAAAGTAAAGTTCAGTCAAGAAATTCACCACTCCATTCTATTACCACATTTATTATTTAAAAAAAAAAAAATCAAGAATGGGTTACAGAAGAGGAGGATAATATTCATAAGAGTAATAACTTTCTAGGGTACTTACCAAAAAAAAAAAAACTTTCTAGGGTCTTAAATCTCTTAAACTACACAGAGTTGTTTATTAGCTGATATACCCAAAATGTTCAAGTTACTAGAACATGTCTCATGCATATGATGCAAAAATTGTTAATCAAGGTACAATTTTTGGATGAAGAAATAATTTCTGTAAACAGAAAATTCATTTAGAGTTCTTACGAGACAGAAAGTTTTCTAGAATCAGAACTGAGATGTATGTGCTTTCAAATATATTCAACAGCCGGTGATTTTGTCAACAGAGATTTTTGTCATTGCCACATCCCAAAAAAGTTAAGAATTAAAAACATGGCCTCAGCAACAACTGACATATCAACAACAAGAATTAAAGTTATCATTATCCTGCCAAAGATAATCATCATAAACAATTGTGAACAACATAAACAACATTAAGAAACAAAAGCAAATGAAAAAATTGAACAGATTAGAGGTCAACAAAATCAACATAAACAAATGCTTTCATATTAAGAAACAACATTAAGACAATGTGAACAAGAACCAAATTGGTCGAAATAATGTAATGTGATTATGCCAAACTAGGATTATGCTCTAGTCCTTTAATTAACAACCTGCTAACATCACGGTTATGAGATAAACAACAATGACCATAGTAAAAGGATAACGAAAACAATAACAAAATCACAAGAGTAATGGTTTCCATAATAAAACCAAACAGAGAGA